TTAATGCCAAAGCCTGCTATTCTCAGGTCATGTAATCTTGTATTTCATAACAAAAATTAGGCTGATTTTTATTAATTAATAAAAATTGTAACTTGGAACATTTTATTGTATCAATATTATTGGCTGTAATTCCACCTCTTTTGTTATAGTCTTACAGAAGTGTTCTCCAGAGCTATCGCCTATACTTTCAAAACAATTCAACAAGTGCTTATCAGAGTCTTGCTTTCCAGCCTGCTGGAAAGCAGCAAATGTTATCCCTATTTTTAATTAAATTCTGGAGAGCGATCTGATTTGTTTAACTACCGTCCCATTAGTCTTCTTCCTATCATAAGCAAGGTTTTTGAATCTTTAATTAACAAACACTTAATCTCTCATCTTGAATCTAATAACTTACGCTCTGATCATCAATATGGATTTCGATATTCTCGTTCTACAGCTGATTTGTTAACAGTAATAACTGATAGGTTTTATTGTGCATTAGATAAAGGTGGAGAGGTTAGGGTTATCACTCTCAATATTTCTAAAGCATTTGATAATGTTTGGCCTGCTGGTCTTCTCCATAAGCTCTCTTCTTATGATCTATTAGGTAACATCCTTATTAATGAATCCTTCCTCTCCGATTGTAGAATAAAAGTTGTCCTTGATGGACAACACTCTTCTTCATATCCTGTAACTTCAGGGGTTCCTCAAGGTTCAATCCATGGCCCTATACTCTTTTTAATTTAAATTAACGATCTTCCAGATATTTTCACATTTAAGGTGGCATTGTTGGCTGATGATACTACCATTTATTCTTGTCATGATAAGAAGCCAACACTCTCTGATTGCTTGGAGGGGGCATTTGAGCTTGAAAAGGATCTTACTTCTGCTACAGCATGGGGCTCACAGTGGCAGGTGAACTTTAATTCAGATAAAACTCAATTTTTTTATGCCAATTGTTATCGCAATAATTTAGATCTTCCTATATTTATGAACAGAAAGGTACTCGATGAGTCATCTACCCTTTATCTTCTAGGATTAACTCTTACTTCCAAACTTTCTTGGAAACCGTATATTAAATCCATTGCAAATTTAGCATCTGCTAAGGTTGCATTTCTTTATCATGCTTGACACTTTCTTACTCTTAATTCTTTTCTTTATCTCTATAAATCTCAAATCTGACCTTGTATGGAATACTGTTGCCATATCTGGGGCAGATCTTCTAATGATACCCTTTTCTTTTAGACAAGGTGCAAAAACTCATTGTAAACCTAGTTGAACCTGCTCTTGCAGCAAACTTCAACCATTATCAAATTGTCGTAATGTTGCCTCTCTTTCTCTTTTCTACAAATACTATAATGACCACTGCTCTAAAGAGCTAGCATTTCTTGTGCTATCTACTAAAATCCATTCTCGTGTTACTCGTCATTCAATTAAGTCTCATCCTTTTTTTGTGACTATTCCTAAATGCTCTAAAAACTCTTATTTCTCTAGTTTTTTATCCTCGAACATCAATTCTTTGGAAATTGCTTCCTTCACCTTGCTTTCCTGATTCATATAATTAGCAATTTATAAGTTGTCTGTCAATCGTTATCTAAAATCGTTAAATAAAATACATATACATCGTAAAACACATTATATGCATGAGTTAAATATGAAGCCTGTAAATCAAAGTGAATTTGTAAATTGTATTTGTAAAGATTGTGTATGTATATATATACATATATGAAAATGTATATGTATACATATATGAAATTATTTTTTTTTTGTATATAAAAAGTTAGTACGATCAAAAAACAAAATAGATTTTCAAGCAAGCAGGTTTGAATCTTCAGAGACATTTTACACAGAACAGCGCTCTTAACCACTACACTACTATGATATACATACAGCAGGAAAAGTAAAACATTAATGTACTTATAATGATAATAGTAATTAATTTAATATCTAAATTACTATAAATATATAAATATGTCATCTTAATTTTAATACTGTAATTTAATAGTTAATAGTAGTAGTTGACTTACACCATTTTAAAGTAGTTTCTAGGCTTTTCTATTCGCGGTTCTATATTCCACGCGGTCTTACAAGCAAGGTCTGCAAGCAAATTAGAGCTGATAAATTTTTAGTTAAAGAAGAATTAATGTTGTTCATTCTTTAAAAACTAAAATAAAAAATTTAAATAATCGTTTGTTTGTTGTTGGTGTTTTTATTTTTCTAATTTTTATAGCCTGTTTTTTTTTTATAGATAAAGTTGGAACTAAAAGTGTTTTAGTTTTGTCTTTAGTCTTTTTAGAACATTTTAAGCAAGTATTGTTTTTAGAGCAATTAGAAGGAGCTGATGGCCTTTTTAGTAAGTTCAATTTATTTTATTATTTATAGATAAAGACTATTGTTTATAGAAGGATTAATGAGAATAAAATTTTATTTATGTATTTAACATGAAAATTTAAATAAAATAAGACTGTTATTTGTTGACATGTAAGTTTATATACATAAATTTGTGTATATTTCCATATATTTTTCTATATCTATATGTATATTTTCTCATAGAAAAAATAATAAGGAAGAGTCAAAGTAAAAATTCTGCTGGAAGTTGTCAAAAGAATGTTGTGTTCTCTTTAAGGTATCTGAATATATATTTATTAGAAAATTTTAATTTTGTTCTTAGATGGTTTTATCTTTTTCATTACCTTAGATAAATATATACTGACTGGCATAACTTCATTTTTATTTACAATGTTGTGCATTGTAGTCTGCATTCTTTGTTACATTAAAGATTATTAAGAAATGATACTAAGAAATGCAGTTATATACATTAAATAAATTTAAGTTTATTTCATAAACAGTTTGTATTTTTTTTGTTTTAGTAAATTATATATACTTTTATATTTATACAAACTTATAAAAAGATTTCAATAAATCTTTAATTAAATTGCTATAGGTTTTTAATATAATAAAATATGGAAAAGTAGTTTTGCTTATTTTTACTATTTCCGCAAACTTTACAAGATTTACAGGAAGTTATATCATAATTCTAATATAATTTTTTTAAAATATATTAGAATTTATAATTCCTGTTTTTATTTTGCTTTATTTACTGATAATGTGGTTTATTTTATGAATCATAGGCTGCCATGTTTTAAAACTTTGGTCAAGTTTTTTCTTTGTGTAGGTAATCTTAGGCCAGATCGAGATATTCCCCTAACATTATCAACTGTTTATCTCTGACCCATTTGCAGCAGTAAATTTAAGCAGAAAAAAATAACATAGCGATCAACTTTGCCTACATAATTTAATGTTTTATTTGCAACTATAGTTATTGATGTTACAGGTATATTCGTTGGAGAAGATAGTGTTCCACCTGCTTTCAGGGAAGTTATTTACCCAAAAGGTTGTTTAGAAGTTATATTGAGTATGTCAGCAAACTTAGATCATATGGTTTATTCACTTTTTTTCCAAGAGATGTCATAATTGGCGCGCAACCCTGAAAATCATGTAAATGAAAATTATCTTAGTTTTACAATTATGGTCCTTCAGTAAGACAAAACTTTTGTTCAATAACTTATGGCAAGAAACTATTTCAGTAATATACTACTGATGCATATTTAAAATTGAAGAGCAGTGTCTTGCTTTCATAGAAATAACCAAAGCAAACTGAGAAGCATGCAATTTGATATTTTTATTTTGGTATTACTTGGCCAGGTGGTAATAATATCTCTTAATTTAGAACTAAGACTTTAGAACTAAGACTAAGTAAAAATCTTACTATAATCAGTATCAAAACATACTAGAATTTGTTAAGCTACATATCTTTTCTTTTTTTTTAAAGTTACCAATTAATATTTATACTTTAATTGAAATTCAACCTTATGTATATCTATTTTTTATTATACTCAATTTTTTGTTTCTCATTACTTACTATTCTACGAGATCACGACTGATAAGTTAAAGATTATTATAATAACTTAGTTTTTATGACTTTAATTAATTAGACTGTTATCATATTTATTATATATTTTAGTTCTACTATTAGTCAATACATTTTTTTACAAATCATATTTTATTAAATTTTCATATAACTGATTACAATTATTCTAAAATGAAATGACTTTTTTTTTTTTTTTTTTTTTGAAGTTCAAATGTGATTGCATTCTTTTTTTCTTTTTTTTAGTTATTGCTTTATTAATTTGCTTACTGTTGAAACATGGTTTTAATTTAGTAAATGTATATGATATGAAATTTACTGTGTTAATCATTATTCACAGTTATGAAGAAATTGAAGAAGAAAGAAACTCTCTGTTTAATAAAAGTTGGTTAATAAAGGAGAGCATTATTGGAACACTATGTTTTTACTAAGCTCCTATGTATTTTTTGGTACAATAATTGATAATGACCATGTTTAAGAAATAATTAACAAGTCACTAATACATGAACACATTAATAAATATGTAAAATAATGCTTTTGTAGTTTAAGATGATTTTTTTTTTTTTTTTTTTTTTAGGTATTGGTAAGTTGTACTTGGCTTCCCTTCTCGGGTGCTTGCTGTTATTAAAAAGAACCTAATATCATAAGTTATGTGGTCTTTACTAAATTATAATTATAATTATAACTAGTTATAATGAATTATATTAAGCAGAAATCATTATTGTACTATTGAACCAGAAAATAACAATGATATAAAATTAAATTTAAAAACTATTTCTATAACAAGTTTTATGTAGACAAGTGTCTTGAAAAAATGTAGACAAATAAATGTAGATAAAAAATGTAAGACAAATGTAAAAAAATAGAGATTGAAGAAATGAGTTTAGTTTGTTTTTATGAACATATAAAAATGTATTTTTGGTATAATTTACATGTTTTATGATATATATTGAATTTTAATTGTTTACCATTTTAGTAGTAAATTTAATGCTTTAAAAAACAACAACAAAATACATTTAAATCATCTATTACAATAAAATAATAAATTACTAAAATAAAAGTCTTACTTCAACAAAATATATAATAGTCTTACTTCATTACTTCAGCAAAACTCATAGCTTCATCAATACCAGGAAATGCTCCAAGTAGCTCAGCCATCATTTTTTTACCAACTGAAGTAATACCTAACAAAAATTAAAACTTTTAATAATTGTATCAAATCTCTAATGAATGTATAAATGTGAGTGAAACAACAACACTACAAATTAATTGTTCCAAGTGTCCCTTTGTACTCAAATTTTTTTCCAATACTTGTAAGTAATTTAAAATTCTTTACTTTTATGTTTTCTGGAATTATATAATTTACAGTTGTCTGCTAACCACTTTCTTGCTTAATAACATTTTACTTTATTTTCCTAATTATTCCCAACTTAAATAGTGGCTACTCTTACAGGGGTGGGACCGCAAAATGTGAACACTTTTCTGATTGTAATAATTAATTTTCTGTTAAATATGAACTATTTTAAATGTTCAATTTGACCTCCTTGATTCTCGTAGATCATTTTACAACGTTTAGACCAACTCTTTAGACACTTTCTGATGAGTGAGAGAGTACAACTACATCTAACGAGAAAATAGTTATAATAAAACAAAAACGTTCACATTTTGCGGTCCCACCCCTGTAGATCAGGTTATTTTCTTGTTTATTTTTAGACATTAAGGAAACTCTGAATATAAAAAAACACCTATGTGTTAGAAGTATTTGTGTTATTCAGTGTTAGGACAGTGTTATAAATATTTATATTATGCAGTGTTTTTAGGACTTAAAAAGTGTGATTAAAATTTATTTGTTCCTTGTTTTATGATTTATCATGAAATATTCATCATTATACAATGCATTTATCCTGACGATCAAACATGGTGTATTTAATGAAATGATCACTCATTGTATGATGTATTTATCGGAATGATTGAACCATGATGTATTTATCATGATGGTCAATCATTTCTCTACAAAAACTTTTATTCAATATTTTTCAAATCTTCTTCATTGATAGTTAAAAACTTTCTGAAAATGTTTGAGAACTAACCATCATCTTCTATAACATCTTCAGGTATTTGACTCATTCCAAAGTTGGGATCAATTTCCTATGTAAAAAAGATTTTCTTTAAAAAAACAACAACATAATTTACCATTACATTAACCAAAATAAAATTAACATAGCAACCTACCATTGCAAACAAATTCGAGTACCCATTTACTAATGTTGGTTTCTTTCCGAATTTCTGGTCAAAAGCATCTGATATATTGTGAGCAGGATCAGTGGAAATGATTAAAACACTTTTACGACAGTAAGAAAGCTGTGAAGCTAAACTGCAACTAAAATTAAAATTTTTTTATAATTAACTAGATTTAACTTTTATAATATACAATTTTTTAATTATTACAATTTTATATATCAATCTAAAATAATTTTATTTAAAACAAATATTTTATATTAATATACAAAGTTTATATATTAAGATAAAATTTATAATTTTATAAATATACAAAGATTTTTTAATTTTTATTTTTTTCAACTTTATTTATTTTATTATTATTCTTAACTTTTAAATTTTGTTCTAATTCATTCCAAACAAGGCTGCAAGCAACCATTATTTAGTTGAGAGTTACTGGAAAACAATGAATTTAAGCGTGAGGAAAAAAAACTAGACAAAAAATTTTCCTGCATGCTGTTTTTTTAGAGCATGCAGGGATAGTAAAAGGATGTTGGTTTGCTGAATGACTAATCAAGTGGTAATGAGTATAAGATGTAGCCATAACCAAATACTTTAGAATGAAGATTGTCAGAAAGGTCATTATTGTAGAAAGATCTTTTGATAAGGTTTAGAATGATAATCCTTATCAAAATCTTTAGATATATCAAGAGCAACTATGCTCTTGCCACAAAGAATTACTTTGTTTATTCTATGAATATGTTGCTTTTTTTCTTTGCTAATACAGAAAGTTGTTACAAGAAAAGTCTAACTGATAGACTTAACATATTTGATGTAACAAGCACCCATGACCTGTTTTATAAGTCATTTTTAGCTAGTTTATTATTCATGTTATAATAGTATATATGTTTTTCTCATTTAATAATAATAATTATTATTATTATTATTATATTCTCATATAATAATAATTATTATTATTATTGTTATTGTTATAGTAAGTACATATAAAACTTACATGTCTTGCCACACTGTCTCCATTTAATGCACAATAGAATCTCAGTCAGAGCAGTTAGCAACCCAGCTGTTGGCAAGACATGTAAGTTTTATATGTACTTACTATAACAATAGCAATAATAATAATAATTATTATTATATGAGAATATAATAATAATAATTATTATTATTATTATTAAATGAGAAAAACATATATACTATTATAACATGAATAATAAACTAGCTAAAAACGACTTATAAAACAGGTCATGGGTGCTTGTTACATCAAATATGTTAAGTCTATCAGTTAGACTTTTCTTGTAACAACTTTCTGTATTAGCAAAGAAAAAAAGCAACATATTCATAGAATAAACAAAGTAATCTACAATAAACTCATCAAAAATAAATTCATGTATATGAAAATATATAGTAGGATGAAAATGATGGGTTTAGGTAAGTCTCTATATTTTTAAATAACTCAATGTATATAATTATGTAAAATATATCAATGTAAAAATGAATAAAAGTAGTAATAAAAGTACTTCAATTTCATAGCTTATGTACTTATTACTTCTAAATTTGAAATCACATTAAAGAGTAAATTGGATGAGAAAATGGCTCTTTTTGTCTAATTTTTGTTACAATGCAGCACTCAGTAATATTAGAAATATTGACAAGTATAATCAATACCTTTCAAAAACATGTTAAAAAAACAGTTTTTCACTGACTCATCACTTTGCAATAAATACGATTGTAATCTACAATTTATCTTTATATTATGAAGCAAAGAAATAAATATGCAAATCTACTATGGAAAATGAAAATAATAACTATATCAGCTACATCAAGAAATCATTTTCTAGAAAGATTTTTAAATGATACAAAGAATCATAAATTTATCAACATTTTTACGGGGTGTATTAAAGTAAAACTTCAGCTGTGTTTGTACTGCTTATAAAAAAAGGTTTAAATTGTCATTAGATGAAGGAAGCGAATTCCAAGAACTGACGTTCGAGGAAAAAAACTAGAGGAATATGAGTTTTTAGAGCACTTTGGAACAGTCACAAAAAAAGGATGAGACTTAATCGAATGACAAGTAACGCGAGTAGTAGATGGCACAAGAGACGCTAGACAAGAGATTTTAGTAGATGGCACAAGAGACACTAGCTCTTTAGAGCAGTACCCATTATAGTATTTGTAGAAAAGAGAAAGAGAAGCAACATTACGACAATGTGATAATGGTTGAAGGTAGGCTACAAGAGCAGATCCAACTATGTTTACAATGCGTTTTTGCACCTTGTCTAAAAGAGAAAGGGCATCATTAGAAGATCTGCCCAAAATATGGCAACAGCATTCCATACAAGGCGGGATTTGAGATTTATAGAGATAGAGAATAGAATCCAAAGTAAGAAAGTGTTGAGCTCGATAAAGAGAAGCAACTTTAGCAGATGCTAATTTTGCAACGGATTTGATATAAGGTTTCCAAGGAAGATCAGAAGTAAAAGTTAATCGTAAAAGATGAAGGGTAGATGTCTCATCGAGTACATTACCTTTCATAAATATAGCAAGGTCTAAATTATTGCAATAACGATTGGCTGGAAAAAATGAAGTTTTATCTAAATTAAAGTTCACCAGCCACTGTGAGCCCCATGCTGTAGCAGAAGTGAGATCCTTTTCAAGCTCAAATGCCCCTCCAAGCAATCAGAGGAAGTTGGCTTCTTATCGCGACAAGAATAAATGGTAGTATCATCAGCGAACAATGCCACCTTTGATGTGAGAATATCTGAAAGATTGTTTATGTAAATTAAAAAAAGTATAAGGGCAAGGATTGAACCTTGAGGAACCCCAGAGGTTACAGAATAAGAAGAAGAGTGCTGTCCATCATGGATAACTTTTATTCTACGATTGAAAAAAAAGGATTCAATAATCTTAAAGATGTTTCCAGATACACCGTAAGAAGAAAGCTTATGGAGAAGACCAGCATGATAAACTTTATCAAACGCTTTAGAAATGTCAAGAGCGATGGCCTTAACCTCTCCATCTTTATCTAATGCCCGATAAAACCTATCGGTTATTACTGTTAGCAAATCAGCCATAGAATGAGAAGATCAAAATCCATATTGATGATTAGAAAGTAAGTTATTAGATTCAAGATGAGAGGTTAAGTGTTTGTTAATTAAAGATTCAAAAACCTTGCTTATGATAGGAAGAAGACTAATGGGACGGTAGTTAGATAAATCAGATCGCTCTCCAGAATTTTTAAAATAGGGATAACAGATGCTGCTTTCCAGCAGGCTGGAAAACAAGACTCTGATAAGCACTTGTTAAATAGCTTTGAGAGGATAGACGACAACTCCGGAGAACACTTCTGTAAGACTATAACAGGAATGTTGTTCGGGCCACAAGCTGTAGAAGAGTCTAAGCAGGAAATCACTGTAGATACAGAAGCTGGAGTGATACGAATGTCAAGCAATGGATCAACCTGTTTGACGGCTATATCAGGTAGAATGCAACTAGTGGAATCAAGAAATGATGTTGATGAAAGGTTTTTAGCAAACAATTCAGCTTTGTATTTAGGTGAGGTGATAAAGTCTGAACCATACAAAAGAAGTGGAATTACAGACTTATTATTAAAAATATTTAAGATTCTCCAAAAGTCATGAGAGCCTAATTTTTGAGATAAAATACAAGATTTCATGATCTGAGAATAGGGGCTTTGGCGTTAGATAAAACCTTTTTACATTGGTTCCTAGCAGTAATAGGTAGACGTCTTTATTTTGGAGAATTGTTTTGCTGATAGATATGGAAGTAATGGTTTCGATTGGCAATTGCAGCAGTACAATGTGAGGAAAACCATGGAGAAGAGTGAGGCTTGAGCTGGAGTTGTTGAGATTGAATAAAGGATTCCATGCCAGCCTGAATCCATAAAGTTATGTAAGAAGCACATTTTTGAACAGGAAGACGAAAGATTTCTACTCAAGGACCATCACGAAGAAAATCACAGAAAGAGTCCCAGTCAGCTTTAAGTTAGTTGTAAGATGCGCGACGATAGAGGGAGTCTGATGATAAAGAAGAATGAGATAATTGTTTTAGAGAGATCAAACTGTGATCAGAGACACCTAAGTGTGAATGTTGAGAAACTGAGCACTGACTAGGATCAGAAACAAGACATAAGTCGAGTAGAGAAGGTAAATGATTCGGGTTATCTGGAAAGCGAGTTGGAAAGTTGACTATTTGAGTTAGGAATTGAGAAAGACAAAAGTTGTGGGCCTTAATGTCTGCGGAATCACTGACACTAGAGCCAAGCCATTCAGTGTGATGAACATTTAAGTCACCGACAAAAACAATATTGGCTGATGGATAAAGAATGAGGGCTTGGTCAATATAATCAGAAATAACATCAAGAAGAGTGCAGTCTTGAGGTGAAGGAGAGCGATATAGAACAAAGAGAAAGGTGATAGAGTGAAGTGGTGCTAAATGAAAGCAAAGAGTAGTCTGTGGATTCAAACCTAGTTTCCTGACAAATGGGTGAATTCTTACGAATGTAAATGCCTAGGCCAAGCATGTGACTATTGGAGTCTTTACAAATTAAAGGAAGATAACCATCAACACTAAGATCACAAAATGAGACAGCTGAACTCAAATTAGTCTCACAAAGAGCAAGTTGGTCTGGTGAACTTTGCAAGAGATAAGACTCAACAGAAGAAAAGTTACATCGAAGACCACGAATATTAGTGAATGATAGGTTTAGTGAACTTAGTGATGACCACCATATTAGTGACCACCATATTAGTGAATGATAGGTTTGGTGATGACCACCATATTAGTGAATGATAGGTTTAGTGAACTTGGTGATGACAGTGGTTTTTTGTGTTTTATAGTTTTTGTTACTTTATTTATTTTTAAATTTGTTAAAGAACTTGACTCGAAACATAGATAGTACTCAGTACACTGTTTAATAGCCCAAGCAATTGCCTCATTACTATTAATAAACCCTCAGCCGTAACAAAAGGCTCTGATATGGTCTTGGCAATGCACACCAAAAGTACAAACAGGAACACCATCCATGTGCAACATGGCACTGTTAATACTTTGATATTTTTCAGCTATTGATGGAATCAGCCTCTCTGAGAGCTACCACAGAGTTTGGGAAACCTGACTACCAGCCAG